AACCCGCGAAAACATAACCCCTCCCCAACTATCCATTCGGTTGGTTCAAACAGGCCAATCCATAGGTGTCATCGAGCTGTGGAAAACAGCGCCTCTCTCAAGGTTGTTAGGTCTTCGCTGTTTCCTTTCTCCGCACGGAGATAAGGCAGATGGCCCCGAGGCATTCCTTTCACACTCCAAAGAAAATACATCAAAATAGATATAGGAAGCATTCTACATGCACTATAAAGCCCTCTGGTCTCTCCCCTCCCCCATAGGAGAATGGCAAAACCTGAACAGGCTAAACATAGAGAATATAAGGGATTAATAATTGAGGGTTCTGACATGCCGCCCCCCCCCCCTAGAAAAATGAGAGATCCACTTGGAGACAGACAAAATAATAAAAAAGGAAAGAATTGAAACAGCAACATTCGTCAGGCTTATCTGGATAACAGGTGTGGAACCTTTTCAGCATTCTAGGGGCTCTGACATGTTTCTTATGTACTCACTCATTTTGGGCTGGTGGGAGATTTTTCCATGCTACCAAGTATTGGGTCGACCAATGATGTTTTCTGGAATCTAATATCTCTTTAATTTCAAAATGTTGCTCCCCTTCCACCATAATGGGTTGTAGGGGGAGCTTCAGCTGGCCTTCTGATCAGCTAGGGCGGCCATGAAGAGGTTAAAATTCTGGAGCTCGGGTGCATCAACATGCAGGGACACCATCCACCTAGCAGCTGCGTTTTCCAGGGCCAGAGTCACAATCCTGATGCGCCCTCGATCCCTGGGGATGTCTAGCCCATTTTCATGCATGTAATTCAGGATGTGGGCTAGGAAGAAACCCAACTGCTGGGGCGATCCTTTGTACTTTACCCCTAGGACTGGAATTTTGCAGTCAGATGGATGAGTAATCCTTCTGGCCCGGCTGCTACTCCAGCAGCTTCTGAAGTACTCCTGGAAGGGCCGGGGTTCACGAGCTCGGTCTCCCGGATCTCTTCTTCCTTTTCTTGTCCCATGGCTACTGAGCCACTGCAGGGATCAGCCTCTTCTTCTTGGAGGTTTTTGAATGCCTCCACCAGCATGGCGATGGCTGCTTAAGAAACCAGTCGGAGCACGCTAGCCTCTCGCCCCCCTCTTCACTGAAATTGAGCAATCTCTCCATCTCATGCTTTCACCCGGGTTGATGGCTGCCATGCTTGAGGGCTACTTTTCTGGCTTTCGTGTCCCAGTTGTCCTTTCCCACTCCGATTGATCATCTCGGTTTCTCACGGGTCTGCCTCATTGGACAAGCTGGCGGAGTCTGAGCCGCTGCTACTCGGGCAAGTTTTCAGGAGGGCGTCCTCCAAGCACTCGCTTTCCCTCTTCTCCCTGGTGTGATTAGATAATATTCTGCACGGTCCCCGTGGTAGGAATTGTCCTCCAGGTTGACCACTTTGCAGATCCTTCCTAATATAAGCACCTGTCTCCATTTCCCTACCAAGAAAGCAGAACTCTTGAAACTTGCATTATTTCAAAAGAAACTTTTATTGCCAGGTAGAGACAGCAGGAAAGCTAGGCAGGATCTGGGGGCTTCCTGCCCAAAGTGATAGGTAAAACCCACGAAAACATAACCCCACCCCACTGTCCATTCAGTCAGTTCAAACAGGCCAATCCATAGGTGTTATCAAGCTGTGGAAAACAGCGCCTCTCTCAAGGTTGTTAGGTCTTCGCTGTTTCCTTTCTCCGCATGGAGATAAGGCAGATGGCCCCGAGGCATTCCTTTCACACCCCGAAGAGAATACATCAAAGTAGATACAGGAAGCATTCTACATGCGCTACAAAGCCCCCTGGTCTCCCCCCTCCCCTCATAGGAGAATGGCAGCACCGGAACAGCTAAACATAGAGAATATAAGGGATTAATAATTGAGAGTTCTGACAAAACGCAAAATAAATCAATAAAAACTCCACCAGAGATTACAAAAGGTGCCCTCTTTACAATTGCATTTTCAGCAATTGAATTCCTGTATGCCTTTTTGACAATTTTTCAGTCATTAAATACCAATAGTATTAAATCATAGGGGAAAATTTCTTAATTAAATGGTTTTACAACAGAATTGTTATACAGTGAGACAATAGACTTTCCTTTACTGAATGTGTCAACCCTAGTGAACTGGGGAAACATTCATCTTACGGATTGAAGTTGGATTAATACAATGGGTGAAGGTTGGTATACATGATTCCTTCTACAGTGAGGGAAAAATTATTTGATCCCCTGCTGATTTTGTACGTTTGCCCACTGCCAAAGAAATGATCGGTTTATAATTTTAATAATAGATTTATTTTAACGGTGAGGGACAAAATAGTAACAAAAAATCCAGAAAAACGCATTTCAAAAGAGTTATAAATTGATTTGCATTTTAATGAGTGAAATAAGTATTTGATCCCTTCGCAAAACATGACCTAGTACTTGGTGGCAAAACCCTTGCTGGCAATCACAGAGGTCAGACGTTTTTTGTAGTTGGCCATCAGGTTTGCACACATCTCAGGAGGGATTTTGTCCCACTCCTCTTTGCAGATCCTCTCCAAGTCATTAAGGTTTCGAGGCTGATGTTTGGCAGGTTGAACCTTCAGCTCCCTCCATAGATTTTCTATGGGAGTAAGGTCTGGAGACTGACTAGGCCAGGGCTTTTCAACCAGTGGTACGGGTACCACCTGTGGTACATTGGCACCTGGCAGGTGGTACGCGACCATCCTAGAAAAGTGGTAGCGGGGGAGGAGAATGAGCTGAACCGGTGGCAGCACCGCACAAGCTTGAGTGAAAGATGGCTGGAGCTGCAGGGCTGTCAGGGCTCAGCGGAAACACCAGGCTCCAACCGGAGCTTGGCGCTGATCCTGGTGCCTCTGCTGAGCCTAGAAGAAGCGCCGATCAGCTGGAATGTTGCAGCATCTCCAAGGTCTTGTGATTTACATTCAGATGCTTGGCAACTGATTCATATTTATGACGGTCACAGTGTCCCCGGGTCATGTGAAGTGACCAAAACCTGCTGCAACCACCCAGCAGACAGGAGGAATAAAAACCAAATACCCCCCACCCCACCCCGCTGCCAATCCTCAACAGAAATGCTCACAACAATGGAAACCTCAGAAAGGAGGAAGAGCGCCGCCCGGTGGGCAGGCACGTGTCTTGCTCGGCTGTGGCTTGGGCACTTTTTTCAGTGCCATTGTAACTTCAAACAGTCACTAAGCGAACTGTTGTAAGTCGAGGACTACCTGTACTTTATTACTTTATCACTTTTTTCCTTTTTTGGGGGGGTCATCAAGTTTTTGACACTTTGCTAGGCGACTGGTGGTACTCGGATGTTGCCATATCCTAAAAGTGGTACAATGGGTGAAAAGGTTGAAAAGCCCTGGACTAGGCCATTCCAGGACCTTAATGTGCTTCTTCTTGAGCCGCTCCTTTCTTGCCTTGGCCATGTGTTTTGGGCCATTGTCATGCTGGAATACCCATCTACGATCCATTTTCAATGCCCTGGCTGAGGGAAGGAGGTTCTCACCCAAGATTTGACAGTACATGGCCCCGTTCATCGTCCCTTTGATGTGGTGAAGTTCTCCTGTTCCCTTAGCAGAAAAACACCTCCAAAATATAATGTTTCCACTTCTATATTTGATGGTGGGGATGGTGTTCTTGGGGTCATAGGCAGCATTCCTCCTCCTCCAAACACAGTGAGTTGGGTTGATGCCAAAGAGCTTGATTTTGGTCTCATCTGACCACAACACTTTCACCCAGCGCTCCTCTGAATTATCCAGATGTTCACTGGTAAACTTCAGATAGGCCTGTACATGTGTTTTCTTTAGCAGGGGGACCTTGCAGGTGTTGCAGGATTTCAGTCCTTCATGGTGTAGTGTGTTACCAATTGTTTTCTTGGTGACTATTGTCCCAGCTGCCTTGAGATCATTGACAAGATCGTCCCGTGTAGTTCTGGGCTGATTCCTCACTGTTTTCATGATCATTGAAACTCCACAAGGTGAGATCTTGCATGGAGCCCCAGACCAAGGGAGATTGACAGTTATTTTGTGTTTCTTCCATTTGCAAATAATTACAGCAACTATTGTTACCTTCTCAACAAGCTGTTTGGCGATAGTCTTGTAGCCCATTCCAGCCTTGTGTAGGTCTACAATCTTGTCCCTGACATCCTTGGACAGCTCTTTGGTCTTGGCCATAGTGGAGAGTTTGTTTGTTTGTTTGATTCTGTGGACAGGTGTCCTTTATACAGGTAACAAGCTGTGATTATACTTATTTCACTCAATAAAATGCAAATCAATTTATAACTTTTTTGAAATGCATTTTTCTGGATTTTTTGTTGTTATTCTGTCTCTCACTGTTAAAATAAATCTACCATTAAAATTATAGACTGATCATTTCTTTGTCAGTGGGCAAATGTACAAAATCAGCAGGGGATCAAATAATTTTTTCCCTCACTGTAACTTGTATAAACAAGTACGAATACACATATTCTGTGTTTTTCCTATAATCAGTGATTCTCAAACATTGCAGTCCCAGGACCCCTTTACTTGCTTAAAAGGGATTAAAGACCTCAAAGTGGTTTATGTGGATTGTATCTATCTGTATTACTATTTTGGAAATTAAAACAGAGAAATTTTAAAATAAATATTTGACTTTGTGGAACCTCAGAGTTTCAGGAATTTGAGACCACAATTTGAGAACTGCTGAAATGAATTATTAGAAATGGACAAACTGATTTCATTTTTTTGATATAATAAAATGTCTGGGTAAGATTTTGTTGAGGGGGCATATGTTATTATCCGTTAAGAACAGGTTACCTTGGTACTATAATCAGAAGCTTTTTGTTAAAAGAAATACACTGGTACTGTTTCAGTAGAAGATATATGATTAGGTAAAATGTTAAATGTAATCAAACTTTCCTTGCAAATCAATTTAAATAGATGGATATGAAAAGATTTCTCCAAAGCATGCAGTTGAAAGAAATTGAGTTTGCCACTGCTTTCTTTTAATTTTTTAGGATCCAAAAATGTATGTGCAAACAGTGTTGGACGTTCATAAGAAGTACAATGCACTAGTCATGTCGGCTTTCAACAATGATGCTGGCTTTGTTGCAGCTCTAGACAAGGTAATATAAGTACTATATTTATAATTAGAAAGTGATTGATTTTGGAAATTTCTGAACATTTCACTTGTATATTTCACAGGCTTGTGGTCGCTTCATAAATAATAATGCAGTAACAAAAATGGCACAATCATCTAGTAAATCTCCAGAGTTGTTGGCACGGTATTGTGATTCTCTGCTAAAGAAAAGGTACCTATTTTGGAGGAAGTTGTATCTTCTGATTTCCTAGATTATTCCCCATTTCATTGATATCTCACTTTAAACATTAGTGCCTATGGGTTGTTGTTTTTTAAGTTGTCCTGGAAGCTACAACTGTTGTAAAATTTTGCAGACTAGATTTTAGTTGCATTACCTGCCATCATATTCTTTAGCCAAGTTCAGTTTCCTTCTGTTAGTAATATGTTATATAGTACAGAACCTGAATCATTATGTATTATGTTCTTTGTTTACTTGCCCAGTCATACACATTTGCCAGGGATTCTCCATGCAGTAAATTAAATAGGATGTTTCACTTCAGAACAAATACTGAGAACTAGGAATTCCTATCTAGATTAGTGGCAGCTGTTAGCTTTCAGTTATCAAAAACTGAAAGCTTCTTCAACCAGGGATTTGTTGTATTATACGTCTATGTTTAGTATGATAGTATTCTTATTGTCTTGAGTTGTATTCTATTTAGGAATTATTTTTTAAATGAAAAAAAGTAAATCTATAAATAGATAAATCAGTGGAATGTAATTTTCTGTTATGTGGAGATAAGCCATTGTAAAATTGTTTTATTTGTTTATTTATTAATTTTTTATCCTGGCTTAATATATTACTTTACAAATAACTCAGGGCAGCAACCATACATAATACTCCTTTCTGCTCCTGTTTTCCCCATAACACCAACCCTATAAGGTGAGTTGGTCTAAAGAGAGTGACAGGCCTCAAGTCATCCAGCCAGCTTTCATTCTTAAGGAGACACTAGAACCCACAGTCTCCTGATTTCTAGCCAGCATCTGAACCATTCCCTAAAACTGGCAAACTAGAATACTTTTATATTTTTTTATTTGAGCGCAATTTACTAAGAATCAAAGGAGTGCAATGACTTTTTTCTGGTTTTAAATCAAATAAGAAAACTTTTTGTTGGTGACCACAGGTTCTGGAAAAAACTGCTCTTATAAAATAATGCTATATATATTTGAAATAATGTTGCTGGATTATAACAATATTAATGCCTTTTTGACCGCAGCTCAAAGAATCCAGAGGAAGCTGAACTTGAAGATACACTTAATCAAGTGGTAAGTTTATGTATAATTATGTATGCATAATTATGCATATTTTTGGAAATTGATTCACAATGATAATTGGAGGAGGACTAAAGGAGAATAACTTGCTATATACCCTTGTTTCTATAATTAAAGCAATTACTGTATTTTTATGTAATAGTTATTACTGGAAATATTGTTGGAAATCCACATTACTCTCAGTTGATAATTATTTGAAGCAGGAAGTATGTTTTTAGATTGCTTAAAAATATATAGTTATTTCAAATATATAGTTATTTTTGTGTTAAACAAAATATATAAAATATTTTATAAAATATATAAAAATAATTATCTTTTGCTTAGATAAATATGAAGTTCGCTATAAAAGTCTTGTTCTAAAAATAAATACCAAAAATCAATGCTTCTTCTAGATGGTGGTCTTCAAATATATTGAAGATAAAGATGTATTTCAAAAATTCTATGCCAAAATGCTGGCAAAGAGGCTGGTACATCAGAACAGTGCTAGCGATGATGCTGAAGCAAGTATGATCTCCAAACTGAAGGTGTGTTTCCCTTTTGTTTATGTTTCTTTTATTGCTCATATTTGTCAGAACCTCACTGTATACTGATACTCATAAACTATATAAATATGTATGTACTGACTGAAAATATCTGAAGAAATCTGGTAACTAAATAAATATTATATTTTAAATGATTTTCTATTATTATTATTATTTATTATTATTATTATTATTATTATTATTATTATTATTATTATTATTATTATTATTATTATTATTATTATTATTATTATTATTATTATTATTATTATTTCATGTTTAATCTATCTCCCAGTCCAAGAAATTGCCCATAATAAACATTTATTTTCAAGCATTCCTAAGGTAAATAATTTTTTATCTTGATAATATTCAGATTTTTAAGCTGGACAGTTTTGAACTTTACAGAAATAGTTATTTGTTCACATGAAATCATGTAATTAAATGATTACACCAAAATTTGAGAATCGGGTTTTGTTTTGTTTTTTATAGGTGAAGTTTATTCAAAACAGCTGTATATGAAATATGAATATTAATCTATTTAGATCAGTTTGTAACTATCATTAGTTCTCAAAAACCTCTTAAAGCAAAACTTTGCTGCTTTAAAACATTTTTGAGCATTGATTCTACACAGAATTTAAAAGTGCATATGTTTACTTGCTTATGAAAGACAGAGTAAACAACAACCATTTGATAAACTTTTTTTTTATTTTTAGTAAGCTTTTAAATTGCCACAAGTGAACGGGTGATTTAAAATAATTATTTTTATGGAGCTTTGGTTGTAATTTTTCCATAAATCTATTATTTTATTTTATTTTTAAAAATATATTTTATTGATTTTTTAACATAAACACCTTAATATTTGGTAAAAAGCATGTTGTCTGGGTTTACAAAGTAATCACTAACAGTCAGTTTCTGTATTCCAAAGTCCACATTATAGCTTTGCTTGATTTTCTCTTCCAATAGTATTCTCTTTGCAGCCTTAAATTAATACAATTCTTATTAATTTTATAGATAACAATTGAATATAAAGATTTTTCTTAAATTTCTACCAATAATAATCACATCAATATCATGCTTCTTTTCTATCAGATCATCTTGGTTGCCTCGTCATGAATCCTGTTTACAATTGTTATTTAAATTTATTTTCTCTACAATGTTCAAAACATTCTTATCGGTTAAAATTTTCCCAGAGTTAATTACCTTAAAGTATTTAAATCTATTTTCATGTCTTAAAAAGTAAGTAAGAAAAAGACATAAAAGAAAAGACGAGAGAAAAAGAAAAAGAGAGAGAGAAAAATAAGAAAATAATATACTACTTAAAATACATATCCCACTTGAACTAGTATACACTTATTTCCATTTTTTTCTGTTCTTTTTACCCATAATTAAACCTATGTTTTTAATCTTTAAATGTTCCATTTAATTAATCCAATCATCTAGTCTTTCTCCAGTATGACGAGTGGAGAATCCACCAATGGGTTAATTTCGTCTTCTGCCCGTAGACTAGTCGTCCAATTTTGCTCCGCCTCTCCTCCTGGGACCTCCCTTTCCCAATCTCGACTAGTCTTGAGCCCGATTAGACTGAGTTCTTGACTCCTGAAGTGATTCTTCTTTAAGGTTGTATATTTCTGATATTTTGGTCAATCCGTGGGGGGGGGGAGGAACTGCAAAGAATGAACGGCTGTTCGTTTGAGCCCCTTCTGCTGCCGGATTGCAGCTCAACCACGAGGTTGGCCTGAGCCCAGCCGATCGCCGGACAAACAAGGAACCGGACGCCATTTTCCGGTCACCAAGCGTGATCCTGAACAAAGGGAGAGACAATCTCCTCCCCCCCCAAACCAATCCTCCCACAGGGCTAGCTAGGATAGCCAAAGCAAATTTGGAATACATTAGCAGCTGATCAGCGGGCAATTCAACCGTCCTGCAGATCAGAGGGAAGCCTGTGAGCCACGTGGGAACAATAGGGGGCTGGTGAGCTGCAGAGGAATATCACAGCTCTCCAGGGCTCTTACCCTAAATCAACTAAAGACCTCAAAGGCTCCTGTTATTTCCATTGCCTGAAGCCGGGGATTAGCTGGTCAGCGGAGGACTTTTTAAACTCCTCAGCTCCCCCCCAGAGTTTCCCTGCAACTCCGTGCCTTCCTTGCAACTCAGGCTGACTGTATTCCACTGAATACAAGCGCAGTTGTTTTTTGGGGTTAGTCTCCAGGAAATACAGCCGAGGGAGACACGAGAGAACTTGGGTTCAGACAATAACAACCTCAACTCACCCAAGCTCAGTCCTTCTTCCTAGCCACATAGGAATAAAATAATAATAATAATAATAATAATAATAATAATAATAATAATAATAATAATAATAATAATAATAATAATAATAATAATAATAATAATAATATAAAAATAAAATAATATTAATAATAATATTAATAATAATAGTAGTAATAGAAGAGCACAAGACATAGATTAGCTCACAATTACCCTGAACCAGACCGAAATTGAAAATTATTCCAGTTAAGAATGGCAGATACCAGCACAGTTCAAACAGTGCAGGAACCTGCCACCATCAGCCCCCCTGCTAGTAAAAGAGAGATCATCTAAGCAGGAGGTGGCTGGGAAGATCAAGGCCAAGGCAATATCGGCCAAAAGGCCTTCCAAAGCAGCGGATAGGGAGGCTAAGCGACGTCACCAGGCTCTAGAGAGACAATTCTCCCAAGCCGAAAGGAGGCAAAACTCCACTGAAGATGAATTAGAGCCACCCAATTACAGGGAGGAGGAAATTTTTGGCACAAGGAAGCCCAGCCAGGAACCTCTGGAAACAGAGGCCAATACAGAACGGGAACGGCTCTCCCCTAAGCGAGGGGCCTGGAGATCTGGGTTCAGAAGCAGGCACCCATCGCTCAGATAATCATGGAGCAATGTCTTCAGAGCACCTTCAATCCCTGATCTCTCAGGCTGTCGCACAGGCCATGGCCTCCTCAAGACACCATTGTTCCAGAACAAGGTCTGTGGCCTCTAGGGACGGCTCCCGCCTTTCTCAAGAGGAGGCCTCTGTGTACCAAGACTCTATTTCCTCCTCCAGGTCCTCCAGAGGCAGGAGGTCTCCTGTGGAGGACCATGAACTGACGGATCATAGACTGTCCGATGAAGAGGATGTATCTCCAGATCCTCCTCCGTTTGTAGGCCTGTTTAATCTGTCCTTATTCAAGACGCTGCTACATAAGGCCAGTGGCACAGCAAATATCGAGAGGCCCCCGATTCCGCAGAAAGGAACCTCCACCAATCCCTCAACTAGTAAGGTCACAAACAACGAAGTGTTTTCACAGCCCACCTATACCCAACACTTTGTCCCCTGTCCACCTCTCTTCTTTGATTCTGTTCAGAACAACATGGGGGCACCGGGTTCCTTCCTCCCAATGGGGGGGGGGCAAACAAGAAAATGTTCAACATAGATCCGGCACTATCAGAGATAATAGAAGTGCCAACAATAGATGATCCCATTGCAACCTTCTTTTCTCCACCCCCGATAGCCGGGGATGCAGCGGAGACCCTGAAATCAGAAGACAAGAAGATGGACCTCATCTTCCGCAGAGCACATCAGGCCTTGGTGTGGGCAATTAAGGCAGGCATTACTACATCCTTTTTTGCCAGGACATCTCTTCTTTGGCTGCGCCAACTCCAGTCGAGTATTCCACCAGTGGAGGAGAAAGCTCACCAGAATTTAAGAAGGTTAGTGGCAGCAGCGGAGCTCATGTCGGATTCCTCCTTACATGCAACCAATTTCTTGGCCAGAGCAATAGTGTACAACACTGATGCGCGCAGATTGCTGTGGCTCAAGCATTGGAGAGCGGACATGAAGGCTAAGTGGCGTTTAGCGGCGGCACCCTATAAGGGCAGGCGGCTCTTTGGTGAGGCGCTTGACCCTTATCTAATTGAAAATAAGGACAAACGCAAGATCCTGGCCCACTTGACAAAGAGGATGGAGAGGAGAGCTCCCTCCTATTCCCGCAGACCGTCCTTCTGACCTGATGCAGGCATGGATCAGGGGGCCTTTTCCCGTCCCTATCAGCCCAGATCTGACTGTCAAGGTGAGAGAAACAATAACAGGGACAGGTTCAGACAACAGGCCCAAGCAAGGCGGCCCTTTCGAGGAGCTGGGGGGCGTCCCTATCGCAGATCCAAGTGATGGCCAGTGGGGCTCCCCCATTGGTGGCCGGCTAGCCCTTTTTGCTCACAAATGGCAAGCCACCACCACGGACCTCTGGGTCCTAAATACCATGAGATTCGGCCTATTTCTAGAACTCCTCTCAACACCCCCGAACCGGTTCATTCCTTGCACATCTCCAAAAGATCTGATCAAGAAGAACCTCACCAAGGAGGCCATCCAACACCTCCTGGACATTCAGGCTATAGAACCGGTAAAAAGAGATCAGTGGGGACATGGATTCTATTACATCCTATTCATAGTCCCAAAGAATTCAGGGGGGTGGAGAGCGATACTAGACCTAAAGAGTCTGAACAGACACCTGGAGTACAAAAAATTCAAAATGCAGACCCTTCACTCAATATTAGCAAGCATCAGGAAGGGGGACCTCCTGACGTCCATAGATCTGATGGAGGCCTACCTTCACATTCCCATACTTCCAGACCACCGGAGAGTCCTCAGGTTCTACCACACGGGTCAACACTTCCAATACAGGGCCCTACCTTTTGGACTTTCTTCAGCTCCCAGGGTCTTCACAAAGGTATTGGCAATCGCCGCGCATTTGAGAACAATTCCGGTGCGCATCCAATGCTATCTGGACGACATTCTCATCCAATCCTCATCGGTCCAGACAGCACAGTCAGACCTGGCACTGGCTCTGAAAACCCTTGAAGACCACGGGTTCTCAGTAAATTTTCAGAAGAGTCAGACCGTTCCCTCAAACCGTCTTCTTCATCTGGGAGCGGTCATAGACACACAAAAATGCACGGTCCATCTTTCTCAGGACCGTCAATGCAGC